GCTAGCTATCTTTTACTGAGCACTTATTGTATGCCGCCATCTTGAAAGTGTTTTATAACGTGAGTCACATTTAATTCTTAAAGCAACAGTGAGTTGGATTTTGTATCCATATTTTAAGCTATGGATATGGATTGTGTATCCCGTTTGGTGAAGCTGAGGCTTACAAAAGCTAATACTTGGACACCAAGTCACATAGTTACTGAATGTTGGGGCTGAATTCAAATTAAGCCTCTCTTTCTCTAAAGCCTCTCGTTGTCTAAATGTACTATTTATCATATTGCTATTACTGTTTAACCTCAGAAAAACATGGGCAAGAATCAGTGAAGACAGTAAGTGCCTTTTTCTCATCCTTAGATTTAAGCCACTCACTGGGAGTATTTCTAAATTGTAATTCGATTTTGGTCATTCTGGCTTCACTACACAAATTAGATGATAATCTGACCGATTTCAGGACTCTCCTTTTTACTTACACACCTCTGATGTGAAGTCCTTTTGAAGAGATCTTCTTGGCCATAAAACTGCTAGTAGAATCTATAGGTCACATTGAATAAAATTCTTTTGTGGCAGCATAGGCCCTTATTCATGAAAACCTCTGTGTCCTCTTGTTAACGATGGAGTTTTTATGCTACTTACGTGGGATAGAACACAAAATGAACCTTTTCAGAGGAAATTACTGGTGTTTGGAATCCACGATGGCATTTTCTACCTTCTACTTTTTGTAATCCACATAACTCTAGAGGGGCTGAATTTGAAAGAAACCTGTGTGAAGGGGGTGAGGTTAAAGCAAGGGAGATCAACCGTGATTATAGAAATAATTTATAGGTTATTCCAGCCTCAGGTCTCCCAGTGCACACATTTCCCAAAGCCTACGAGCTGCTGATTTGACACTGTTGTTCAGACTGGCCCATGGAAAGGAGATTCATATTACCAGCTAAAGTACAAAAAGAGTTTTGTGCACTGGGTGGGGAGGAAATGGGCACGAATGCTGGAGCCTCTGATGTAGAGGA